TAGCCCCCTCCTTTTGTTTTACTGAACAGTACGTAACTAGGGCATACAATGTGATGTTTAGATACATGTACACATGGTACAATGATCAAATCAGGAGAGTCAGCGTGTCCATTTCCTCACATATTTATCATTTCTTTGTGGTGATCACATTCAAAATCTTTTAGGCTATTTAGAATATATGCTATCACTTAATATAGTCACCATACTGAGTAATAAAACATTAAACTTTTTCCTCCTGTCTAACTATATCATTATGTCAGTTTTCGACCTGCTCCTCATCTCCTGCTTCCCTTTCCCACCCTGTTCTCTGGTATCCACTATTCTACTTTCTAGTTCTATGAAGTCAACTCTCTTAGATTCCACTTGTAAGAGAGATCATAGGGTATTTATCTTTCTGTGCCTGACTCACTTCATTTAACATAATGTCTTCCAGATGCCTCCATGTTTCTATAAATGGCAGCATTCCCACCTTATTTATGGCTGAATGATGTATATATACCACATATTCCTTGTCTAGTTATTGATAGACACTTTTGCACAACAAAGGAAATAACAGTGAAGAGCCGATCTATCAGATTGAGTTTATATTCTTTCTAGCTTCAAGAGGAAGACCAGGCTTGTGTCATCCTGAAACGTAATTTAGAAATTTCTTTTTTTAAAAATGTAAATACATCCTACTTTTGTAAATTTTCTTGAAACACACTTATGTGAGCATATTTCTAGGGTAGCACCCAAGACCTTAGAAGGGGCCGTTGCAAAGGAGAGCCCTAAGCTTAACTTTCACGTGCTGCATGGTAACTTCTCCTTTGCACGGCATAGAAACCAGTATCTTACATTGACTAAGCTATGAACTCTAAAGCTAGATTTTTTGAGATCGAAGCACATGTCTGCCATCCCTTGGTTGTGTGAACTTGGGTAAATTACTTAATCTCTCTTCGCTTAATATTTCCATGTCTAGCTCTTTCCCACTAATACAAGATGGCAGGCGAAAAAGTTGCAAAGCAGGATACTAAGGAGAAAAAAAAACCTGAAGCCAAGAAGGCTGATGCCAGTGGCAAGGTGTAAAAGGGTGACCCCAAGGCTAAAAAGCCCAAGGGGAAGGCCCATTGCAGCTGAAATCCCATCCTAGTCCGGGGCATCGGCAGATACTCCTGGTCTGCCATGTATTCCAGGAAGGCCATGAACAAGAGGAACTACTTGACCACTAAATCCAAGATAGAAAAGAAAAAGAAAGAGAACTTTCTTGCAACTGTCACAAAACCAGTTGGTGGAGACAAGAATGGTGGTACCTGGGTGGTTAAGCTGCCCAGAATACCTAGGTATTATCCTACTGAAGATGTGCCTAGAAAGCTGTTGAGCCATGACAAAAAACCCTTTAGTCAGCATGTGAGAGAGCTGTGAGCCAGCATCACTCCTGGGACCATTCTGATCATCCTCACTGGACTTCACAAAAGCAAGAGAGTGGTTTTCCTGAAGCAGCTGAGCAGTGGCTTCCTACTTGTAACTGGACTGCTGGTTCTCAATCAACTTTCACTGTGTAGAACACACCAGAAATTTGTCATTGCCACCTCCACGAAAATTGATACTAGCAAAGTAAAAATCCCAAAGCACCTTACCGATGCGTACTTCAAGAAAAAGAAACTACAGAAGCCCAGACACCAGGAAAGTGAGATCTTTGACTCAGAGAAGGAGAAATACAAGATTTCAGAGCAGTGCAAGATTGATCAGAAAGCTGTGGACTTGCAAATTTTACCAATAATCAAAGCTGTTCTTCACCTCTAGGGCTACCTGCTATCCGTGCTAGCCCTTACAAATGGAGTCTATCCTCACAAATTGGTGTTCTAATTTTTTTGCCAGGAACCTAATTAAATAACTGATCATATATAAAATATATATATATTTCCATGTCTAAAATGAAAATTGAAAAAAAGAGTCCATATCTGAAATGAAATAAAATTTTTATTCAATCCAAGAGAATAAACATTAGGGCAAATATAATAATAATGCTGGGTCATAGGACTTTTCTGACCACTCAATATAGCTTTTAAAAATGCTTTTAATTAATTAATTTATTATTATT